AATTAACTAATGATTGAACGGGCTAAACCAACACAAGGGAAAGAAACCACAACAAACAGTCCACAGGGGTGTTACATTACCCCCCCCCCCTCCCGGAAGGTGCGTCCTCGCACCGTAGAAACAGAGAGAGGGGCACAAGGCAGTGGATGTGACATGGTGGCAGGGGAAGGCAAAGGGCTGGCATTTTTGAGGAGTGGGCACTGGAGAGAGCTCTTGGGCCGGAGCCCTTTCTGGGCGGAACCGGGGATCAGGAGCCCTTCCCGGGCTGGACTGGGGATCAGGAGCCCTTCCCGGGCTGGACTGGGGATCAGGAGCCTTTCCTTGAGTCGATTGGCCGAATACCTCCCGGAAGTGTCTCACAAAACCCTCCAGCGCGTGAATCCCCGGGCAGTCCACAAGGCTTCGGCCCACTGCAAGGCTCATCCAGACAGCAACGAGATAATGAATAACACTTTGGCCCGCTCAGTCACAAACGGGTGTGGTTGCGTCTCCAGGTAGTGGCAACATTGCAGCAAGAACCCGCTGCCGAAGGCTGCCTCACCCAAAAAGCTGGCTGGCCGGGCCATGGGACAGGCGGGGTAATCCATAAAAACAAAACTGACAAAAAAAAATGGAAAAAACAAACAAAGGGAAAGACGCCGCTATACTTTACTTGAGGGTCGGTTATTCTGTCATGGTCCAGGTGTGTGGAGGCAGGCAGGATGACGAGGACAGCAAGGATACAAAATAAGGATTTTTAATGTGTGTCACTCACTCACTCACACACTCACACTCACACACACAGTAACATTCACAATAACCGACAATACTAGTATACACGAGACAGGAACTTATAGGGCAGATAACGAGGGGCAGATAGGTGAGCACACTGAGGATAATTAACTAATGATTAAACGGGCTAAACCAACACAAGGGAAGAAACCACAACAAACAGTCCACAGGGGTGTTACAGTAATACAAATGGTGATCAATATTCCAAAAAACATGGTTACCACACTTTTACTATAATAAAAACATGGTTAATTTTTGTAAGGTTTGTTGGGGTCCCCTTATATATAAATATTTCCGTTGTGTCTGTGCTACTTGCAATGCTTTTCTGTATTTGGTCGCATTGTGTATATTTGCAGCGCTTTTCTGTATTTGATTGTGTTGTGAGTATTTGCAGCGCGTTTTTGTATTTGATTGTGTTGTGAGTATTTGCAGCACGTTTTTGTATTTGATTGTGTTGTGTGTATTTGTATTTGATTGTGTTGTGAGTATTTGCAGCGCGTTTCTGCTGAGTTTGCAAGTCTTTTTAAAATGATTAAAAGAGCTATTTGTGGTTGAATCAGACTACACTGGTCACGCTGTAGGTTATTGCATGCAGCTCAACACTTAATAGAGACTTAATGTTTTCTTGACATTATTTCTGAGAAAAATGCTTTAAAACTGGTTTAAAAAAGTTAAAAAAATTAAATTTTTTAATTATTAAATTATTGTTAAATAACTTATAAATTAATATCTAAAAAACATCAATAAATTACTTTTGCTTTCTTTTGCTAATATACATCTCTGATATTCTTTTAAGCTTTAAACCTGAAACGTTAAAAGTAAAAAACATTTAATTTTACATTTGGGACATTTATTTTAAAGATCAGGACCCAGTTACACTGATTAAAAAAAATTTAAAAAATTCACTCAGAAATTACTAGTAAATTTCACACTTGATTACAAAGAATTACATTAAATTATTTTTTTTAATTTTTAAGCCTAAAATAGTATTTTCGTGTGTAAGGTAAAACAATAATCTTTCTTTTTTGTACAACTTTGAATAATATATTTATACAGTATACAACAAACCCTTTAACTCATAGAAAGTTATAATATTACTTTTGTATTATCAGTAAGAATTTGCTGCAAATGGCTGCAGGTGTGTTAAGAGGTCTAAATTGGAGTGCTGACCAATTAAAAGCATTCATGGATAAAACTGCTGAATATATGTAAATATGCAGAAACGAGGCAAAAATGAATGCCAAGTAAACACACAGACTACAGCTCGACTGCAACAGCCAGAAATCTCACTTGTAATCGTCTCAAGTGTTTCCCACAATGTCAAGTAGAACATTCATAATCACAAAATCACAGCAAAATAACTTCTGCCATTTAGCCCTAAATGCAGCGTCTGTCATAACAGCTGAAAGCAAACGCATGATGGCAACTACCTTCACCCAGCCAGGTATCCAGGTGAGAGCGTCCTCCCTCTTCCCCCTCGCGGTCCGGCCGGGCGACATCAGTCCACGCTCAGCTCGCCCCGGGTGATAATTCAGAATCAGAGCCCTCGCTAACGGAGAACGTCCATAAAGACGAGTCAGCCTCGCTTTGCCATCCATCAGTGTGTCCGCAGCTCTTCTTTGCTATCCGCCGTACCTGATCCCAGGCTTTTCCGCCCCTGCTTCCGTCGAGGTTATTTTTAAACAGTACGCCCGAGAAAGGGCACTGGTGTTGAGATCAAGTTTTCTGGCTCTCAGCATTTCTGGAGACCACGCCAGCACAAAAGCAGTGGGGCTGCGGAAACTCAATCTCTGGCGTTGGCTTAGTGCTAACAAAGGGTTATTTAGGGATGCTTATGCTGAAAGTCGTGTTCATTAACAGCTGATCTTCAAAGGAGATCACATCTGCGTTCTGTCATTGATTCATCCACACAGTGTAAGGTCACAGAGGTATTTAAGCAAATACAAAGAGCTTATTGCCTAATGATTGTCTTTTGTACTTGGGTGGAATGACCTTTAATCCATTCAACATCTTAATCTAATTTATGAATGCCGAGAGAAGGGCAAACCATTTTGTGACCAGAACGCAAGATAAGAGCAGCAAAAGCATGTATTATCGTCCAATAATCCCAGTCGCATCCCTTCAGTGCACTGGATATCAATGAAAAACCCTGCATTTTATCCATATGTGAACATGTGCTATTTCTCAGCTTTTTCTACCAAATACGCAGTCTATGTTCATAGCTTCCTAACTTTTTAAGCCAATTAGCTGAGCTATAAATGCCATGTGGGGAAATGAGGAAAAAACAAGAGGGAAAAAAAGGTGGTTTTCATGGTTTTAAGAGCTCTCTGAAACATAATTTGGCACTGGTAAAACATCTACGATAGTATAATGAAATATTAGTCATATGTTGATTTGCAAAAAAACAAACATTTAAGAAGATTTAGTTAGCATTTACCTGCAGGAGCGAGCTAGCCCCATCTAAACCCCCCTATGGATCTGACTCATGAAACTTACTTTCACTGGTGTAATCTAATTTTAAGAGCTTAAAGGGCTAGTTCACCCAAAAATTAAAATTAGACTGCGTTTTACTTACTCTCGAAACATCCTAGGCGTATATGACTTTCTTCTTTCAGACCAATCCAGTCGGAGTTATATTAAAAATTGTCCTGGCTATTCCAAGCTCTATCATTGCAGTCAGCGGGTGTTGCAGTTGAACAGTCCACAAGTCGTCAAATAAAGCTCGCGCATTCATAATAAAACGTGCCTCACACGGCTCCGGGGGATGAATAAAGGCCCCCTGTAGTGAATCCATGAGTTTTTGTTAGAAAAATATCCATATTTCAAATGTAATAAACACTTGTCTCTCACTTCCGCTGACTGTCATCCACTGAAGCAGTTCCGGCGGATGACGTAAGACGTCGGCGTTGCGTGATTAGTGACGAACGCAGAGACAGAATAAAACAAAATGCCGGTCACAAATTAGAAGTACAAACCGAGGATTTGCAAAGAAAAATGTCAGAGGATTTCAGTATAAACCAAGAGGAGACTGGTTTTCCTTTGCTAAAGTAAGAAACTTTGCTTCCTTTGCTCCTGTTAACAAACTCACGAGACTAGCATACCTCAGAGGCGCGCGCGCTGCGCATACATCATGTATGACGGCTGTATGACAGTCAGCGGAATGAGAGAAAAGTGTTTATTACGTTTGAAATATGGATATTTTTCTTTAAAAAACACATGGATTCGCTACAGGGGGATTTTATTCATCCCCCGGAGCCGTCTGCGGCACGTTTTATTATGAATGCGCAAGCTTTATTTGATGACTTGTGTTACCGTTCAGAACTTTGAGATTTTTATTAATGAAATTAATCATTTTCAGCAAAGATGCATTAAACTGATAAAAAGTGACAGTAAAGACATTTATAATGTAACAAAATATTTTTACTTCAAATAAAATGCTGTTTCCACAGAAATATTGTGCAGCACGACTGTGTTCAACATTGATAATAATCAGAAATGTTTCTCGAGCAGCAGATCAGCATATTATACTGATTTCTGAAGATCATGTGACACTGAAGACTGGAGGAATGATGCTGAAAATACAGCTGCGCATCACAGAAATACATTACAGTTTAACAGAGATTCACATAGAACACAGTTATTTTAAATTTTAATAATATTTCACAATTTTTACAGTATTTTTGATTAAATAAATCCAGCCTCGGTGAGGATAAGATACCCCTTTTTAAACATTAACAAATCTTACCAACCCCAAACTTTTGAATGATAATAGTACATAATCTGTATTAAATAAACAATCTGATGTCAAATGCATATTCATTAAAACTAATTATGCACTAAATGCAAACTGACACATCACTAACATCTTTAGCCAACCATAAAACAGTTACATAGTTAAAACCATCCGTCCAGACCTTGTTCGTAACCTCTGCCCTCTGTAGGAGTATTTCAGTATCACAACCTCGTCCTTTGCCAGTTCATCATCACTGTGACATCAGACATGCTGCAGGGGTTTGTTTAATGTTGAGTTTACATGGGCGTCCTGCCAGCTGTCATGAGATCAGCCTCTTCCTGACCCCTGCTGACCCTCGTGACCTTATGTGTCACAACGGATTTAACCACAAACACCAAAACCAAGGGTGTGTGTGTGTGTGAGTGTATGAGTCTGTGTGTGTGTGTGAGTGTGTGTGTGTGTGTGTGTGTGTGTGCTAGTGTGTGTGTTTACTCACATTGGCAGAGGGGTTTCGCACCGTCACGCTCGGTGTCGTGGCTCTAAGTGCTCCACTCAAACCATGATAATATTTGAAGCAAACCTTGGTCTCAGCTGCACAAGAGAGAGAAACAGAGGAACAGAATGACATGTAGGTCAAGACATTGTCGACTTGCACGCTGATCCACGACTCAGGAGGAAACCCAGCAGAAAATCCCCACATTCTCTCAAACTCAGTGCAGAAATCAGAAGCTGTTGTTATATTAATTACATAATCACACCAATTACCCATTATTACAATTACAAAATAACATATACATTTGATGAATAAATACATTTTCTTCAGTAAAGGTGTGTAGAGCACACAATGAGAGAGTGGCTGTTAAGGTGCTGCTATAGGACATAATTGATAAGATATTTAGAGTGATTTTTAGCATGTTGCTATGTGGTTGCTAGGTGGTGGATAAGGTGTTCTGGGTGCTGCAAGTTGGTTTTCAACAAGTCACACTTTTTTGTGAGAAATGGAAAAGTATGCATTAAATTGATCAAAAGTCATTTATAATAAGGTCAAGACATTGTCGACTTGCACGCTGATCCACGACTCAGGAGGAAACCCAGCAGAAAATCCCCACATTCTCTCAAACTCAGTGCAGAAATCAGAAGCTGAGTTGGTGTTGTTATATTAATTACATAATCACACCAATTACCCATTATTACAATTACAAAATAACATATACATTTGATGAATAAATACATTTTCTTCAGTAAAGGTGTGTAGAGCACACAATGAGAGAGTGGCTGTTAAGGTGCTGCTATAGGACATAATTTATAAGATATTTAGAGTGATTTTTAGCATGTTGCTATGTGGTTGCTAGGTGGTGGATAAGGTGTTCTGATGGACCGTGCTCCTCCAGGTGTGCTGCTGAGCTAAATATGTCTACTTATTTAGTTACTACGCCTTCTAAAAATGGAGTTTTCATGGCTGTCTTATTTCCATGCGCTGCTCACACCTGGCTTGAATTCACTTGAATAATGCAGAGCAATTTTTTTCCTAACTGCTCGCATTTGTGCATGTAGTGGCCTCAAAAAGTATTTTTGACACTTAAGCCTCATTCCTAAAATGTTTGAATGATATTGCATTACATGGCAAAAATATCAAAGCAAATGTCATTTTTTTAAAGATAGCACAAAAATCCATTCATTTAAAAACTGTACCAAAAAAAAAATCACAGTTCTTTGTGATTAATTGTGCAATTAATAGCACCTGATATTAAAATTTGTAATAATAAATATTGAATACCATAATTAATGTAGGATATTCATAAAGAGAGTATATTTTAAATAATATTTATTTAATGCCATCTTCTTACCGAAGTACTATCAAGGTTAGTATCAGTGATACCCATAATGATATTGATTCTTCTATTAGATAAAAAGTAGTAATTAGAGCTATTCAACATTACATTTAATATGTCATAAAACATTTTTAGCATTTAATAGGCTTTAACAGTTAAGGAGGAAGACAGCTTATTTATAGTTTTTTTTTCAATGCTTATGTTAGTTCTTATTAACTGCCAAAATGAAAGCATTATTTTCCCCAGCCCTAGTTTGGATCATTATTTGTGTTACAAGCTGCAAAAATCATCAGGATTAAACCAACAACTACAAACAAACCTTTCATCTCTTTGGGCTTCATTTACAAAACGCAACCAGAACAAAATGAGTTATACAGTACATAAATGGTTTAACTAAAATTCACCTCATCCACCAGAGATGAATCAGATTAGATTCATCATGTTAGATGCTCTGAATTTACCAAGTGTATGATGTATTATATAAATCTGATTGATTTATATGATAATTGTGTTTCATCTCATTCAGACTTCATATAAATACCACATTCATCACACTTTATTTTTCAGGAATTCAATTCTAAAGTTTTAAATGAACAGTATGTCTCTAGCGCATCTCATTTTATGCCGCAGCTGCGCGGGAGAAAACGCACAATGAGACAGAGGAGACCGTCACGGAGGATATAAAGGCAGATGGCGAGGAGCTTCAAAAGCTGGACATCTGAATCTGGCTGGTCTGAGATATGGAATGAGAAAACAGATTTATATAATCACGCTGCTCGATTTGACAGCCAACCAGCATGAGTGAGTCGAGGTGGAAGACTCCCAGATCAGAGATGAAGACGGTATTGAAAATGTGCAGACGCTGAGAAATACCCTCTCACAGAAACTTCACAGGAATCAGAAAATAAGCCGACTGCAGAAATACAGCGACGGAGCAAATCCTGAAGATGATGAAGTCCACCGGACTCCCGACTGCATCAGTGGCTGTTGTGAAATTGGACTGTCGATTGCTTTTTTGGCAACATCAGCGATTTGCAGAGGAATATGTCAAACCCAAACCCTGAGGCGACTTTGTAAAGGTGCATTAATGGAAGAAAGAGACAAACAGTCAGGATGAAACGGGAAGAGAAATACTGACCCTCCATAAAGTACAAGCTGGCATCGATTCTCCACACGATCTGGCCTTTGTGGGAGCCGCTCACGCCACGACTCTTATAGTCCAGAAAGTTTTCTGACAGAACCTCGTCTGTAAAAGACAAAGAAAGCGCTGATAGTAAATAACTACAGCCAAGGGTAGTTAGTTGTTTTCTCCTGTTCTGCCTCCATTTCAAGAGCAAATATAATACAAAGGTTGTTATAACATTATTTTATTATGTCATTACATTGTTTGGAGCATGAGAAAAAAAAAATATTTTATTGATATTTTATGCTCTGTCCTCTGTTATTAAGAGTTATTAAGAAAATTAAAAGAAAAAGACACTATCAGTTTTTAGGTTACAGGCTATTTATTTTGAAGAAAACTTTGTATAAAGATATACTCAACTATGTTATGAAAGATATTACAGAATGATTTGATTTTATATAATATGTGTGTAAACATGGCCATAAATGGGTATTCCCATGTTATACACTAGCTGATAGTAAATAACTACAGCCAAGGGTAGTTAGTTGTTTTCTCCTGTTCTGCCTCCATTTCAAGAGCAAATATAATACAAAGGTTGTTATAACATTATTTTATTATGTCATTACATTGTTTGGAGCATGAGAAAAAAAAATATTTTATTGATATTTTATGCTCTGTCCTCTGTTATTAAGAGTTATTAAGAAAATTAAAAGAAAAAGACACTATCAGTTTTTAGGTTACAGGCTATTTATTTTGAAGAAAACTTTGTATAAAGATATACTCAACTATGTTATGAAAGATATTACAGAATGATTTGATTTTATATAATATGTGTGTAAACATGGCCATAAATGGGTATTCCCATGTTATACACTGAATAATTAGCATATTAATGTGTTCTTGAGGCAACATGTAATGAAAAAAGAAGTGTAATACTATTAAAACAATATTAATATTATTAATAATAAAACAATTAATATAAATTGAAAATATAAAACAGTAATATTGTGAAATATTACAATTTTAAAAAACAGTTTTAATATATTTTAAAATGTAAATATTATATGATGAAAAGCTGATGCTGATTTGCTGCTCAATTATTAATAATGGATTCTTAGATGAATAGAAAGTTTTGAAGAAGAGCATTTATTTGAAACAGAAACATTACGAATGTCTTTATTGAGACTTTTGATCAATTTAATGCATCTGAATAAAAGTGTTAATTTATTATTTTATTTAAATCTTGCTTACCCCAAAACTTTTGTAATATATAACGGTTTCCACAGAAATATTGTGCAGCACGACTGTGTTCAACATTGATAATAATCAGAAATGTTTCTCGAGCAGCAGATCAGCATATTATACTGATTTCTGAAGATCATGTGACACTGAAGACTGGAGGAATGATGCTGAAAATACAGCTGCGCATCACAGAAATACATTACAGTTTAACACAGATTCACACAGAACACAGCTGTTTCACATTAGAATAATATTTAAAATTTTTTTACAGTATTTTTGATCAAATAAATGCAGCCTCGGTGAGCAGAAGAGACTTCATTCAAAAACATTTAAACATTTTATTAATACTGGCATTATATCAGGTATTGATCAAGCATTCAAAACCCTGGATTTAATACTGGCCTGTTTAACACAGATTCACACAGAACACAGCTGTTTGAAATTGTAATAATATTTAAAATTTTTTTACAGTATTTTTGATCAAATAAATGCAGCCTCGGTGAGCAGAAGAGACTTCATTCAAAAACATTTAAACATTTTATTAATACTGGCATTATATCAGGTATTGATCAAGCATTCAAAACCCTGGATTTAATACTGGCCAGTGAGAAACTCATATCTGTTATCATCTTCTCACCGATGAGGTACATGCCGATCCAGTCGCCGGCGTCCACCTCCTCTCTGATGTCCCAGCAGATGACCATGTCTTCTGATTGTCCGATGCAGTAGAGCGAGGTGCTGGCGCTCAGGGTGGAGCGGCTCTGTAAGGACACCAGGTCCGTGTCGCTCAAGCTGAGTTTCATATAACTTATAAAACATTACATTTTGATGAGTTAAAATAATGTAAAAACATAAATTAGCATGACTTACTGATCATATAAATTTTATAATAACTCTATCTCCAAATTTCTGTAATAAAACAGAATTATACACATGGTGTGAACCCGAAATTAAACATTTAAAACATTGCCACTACAAATATTTATTAATTTACATTGGAAAATGTCACTAGAGATATTTATTCAAGGTCTAAACCCATTCTGAAATGAAGTATTACGTACATGGAATAGCCGTTTTATAAAAGCAGTAACCCCCCTGAAACCATGGTTTACAGTGAATTTATAACAGCTAAGAGGGTTTTACTCCGCTTTGCATCGTACCTAACAACGCCTCTTAGTTGTTATAAATTCACTGTAAACCACATCTTCACGGGGGTCATTGCTTTATTAACATCTTCTTGGAATTCCAAATAGATTATCGTGGCACAAGTGAAAATCTCTTGCAGCATTCCTTCTCATCAGTATAACATCGGCTCATTAGAGCATCCGTGCTCGTCAGTAGAGTAACGTCAACACACTGGCATCGTTCCTGATCTCTGCTTGTTGTTTGGATCACATCTTTCAAACTAGCATAGGATTATGCACCCAAATGCCTGATTTCCACATTATTGGTCACTTTGTCTTTGTCCCATAGAGGGTTAAACAAATCAAGCTGAGTTTCATATAACTTATAAAACATTACATTTTGATGAGTTAAAATAATGTAAAAACATAAATTAGCATGACTTACTGATCATATAAATTTTATAATAACTCTATCTCCAAATTTCTGTAATAAAACAGAATTATACACATGGTGTGAACCCGAAATTAAACATTTAAAACATTGCCACTACAAATATTTATTAATTTACATTGGAAAATGTCACTAGAGATATTTATTCAAGGTCTAAACCCATTCTGAAATGAATGCAAAATCTGCAAATAAATGTAATTTCAATGAATTTTAACCTAATGAATTAAATAATCCAAAGTTTAAAGGTGCAATCACCGTTGACATTTCAACAACATTTTGGCAAAATCTGCATGGGAAAATCTATCACCCTCAGGCAAAATTCCCAATCGCGTGGGTTCCTATTGAAATGACTGGATTTCGACTGTGAAAATGCACCCGAGAATGAAATGTGACCACACCTTTACTCATAAATAAACCAATTTTTCTGCTGTTATCGTAATAACTGGGCGAGATTTAAAAGCAAACTGCATGATAATTCCGGTAAACATCATATATCAAAATAATATTACAAATAAAAAAAGTGGTCCAAAAATGTGTTATTGATATCTGCATTGTTTGTGAACATGTAACAAAGATCTATGAGTGTTAGTCAGGAAATATGGCACTTTCCAGAAGATGGACGTGAAAAGATCATGCAGAGAGCTGTGAACGGAGAGGAATATGCAACAGCCAATTCAATTAGCAATTCATTACTACTTTTTAGCTGGAATGTAAATGCATATGGTTATAATGTGTATGGTTTATTATCCAGTCAGGGTATAAATAAATCTACAGAGAAGCTTTAACATCGAAGCACAATAATGAGGTTCTCGTCATTTATTTTCACAGAGTTTCTGCAGGTTTTGTGAAGTCGAATTTAAGACATCTTTAAGATCAATTAAAGAACATCGGGATTGATCAAAATGAAGTGAATATATGATTAAAACAAGAACAAATATCTGTCAGTTAATTCAAAGGGAAAACACATTTTCAGCTCATTGACAGATATTTGTTCCTGTTTTAATCATGAACTCGCTTCATTTTGTTCATTTTCCAGAAAACAATTGAGCTGTATATTCTCAATTAGCATCTAAGGATGTTTAGATAGTTGTATTAGAAAACAAAACAGAAATACTGAGAAAGATATTCATCTTTAGCAATGCACGTGGCATTTAATGCCATGACTTAAAATCTCTAAAATACCTTTTTAGGCCTTAATTTGTGGAAGGGTGAATTAAGGCTTTTTAAGACCTGCAGAAAGCCTGTTTACAGTGTTATGCACAAGATCATCAACCATGAGAATCAGGCCACACGCTTGACTTCTACATACAAGCCCAACATCACTCTGATCTGATGCGTTTTGATCGTCCACGTCAGTCTTCTTGATATTTTCAATGACGGAGGCATCGACAGCATCTGTAATTGCAGGCTGAGATCAGCTCATATTCACTAGATTCCTCACTATGCCCTAAATATTTCAGCTTTATCAGGAAGGTGTGATGAAATACTACGAAACTGTCAACATGTCTCTGAACGCCTGCCAAGAGCTCACACACACACACACAGACCTTAAAATAGTAAAGCCTCTGGGAGCTGCTCCACGGTAAACGGAGACAGAAAGTGTCAGAGAAAGCCAGAAGACTTAAAAACAAGCCCAAAGTGACACAACACTTATCTCCTCTGAGGCGCTTTCAAAGCTTTCCCTTCCCTGCTGGAAAGAACAGTGTCTTCTTTACCCTCATAACGCATTTGGGTCCATTTGACCCGGAAGAGATACATAATTACAAAAAAAAGCCTTTGCAAATTCTTTAAGACCCTCAAAATACAGATTATAACATCGGCTCATTAGAGCATCCGTGCTCGTCAGTAGAGTAACGTCAACACACTGGCATCGTTCCTGATCTCTGCTTGTTGTTTGGATCACATCTTTCAAACTAGCATAGGATTATGCACCCAAATGCCTGATTTCCACATTATTGGTCACTTTGTCTTTGTCCCATAGAGGGTTAAACAAAATCAAGCTGAGTTTCATCTAACTTATAAAACATTACATTTTGATGAGTTAAAATAATGTAAAAACATAAATTGGCATGACTTACTGATCATATAAATTTTATAATAACTCTATCTCCAAATTTCTGTAATAAAACAGAATTATACACATGGTGTGAACCCGAAATTAAACATTTAAAACATTGCCACTACAAATATTTATTAATTTACATTGGAAAATGTCACTAGAGATATTTATTCAAGGTCTAAACCCATTCTGAAATGAATGCAAAATCTGCAAATAAATGTAATTTCAATGAATTTTAACCTAATGAATTAAATAATCCAAAGTTTAAAGGTGCAATCACCGTTGACATTTCAACAACATTTTGGCAAAATCTGCATGGGAAAATCTATCACCCTCAGGCAAAATTCCCAATCGCGTGGGTTCCTATTGAAATGACTGGATTTCGACTGTGAAAATGTCAAAATACAGATATTTTTTTTTTTTTTATATATAACGATTTTAAAAAGGTTACACGTTTTGTGTTCGGGTCATTTTGGACCAGGGTGTGTATGGAGTCCCATTAGGTGTCAACAATACTTTTTGTGAAATTATCTATGAAGCAATACAACCTTTTCCCCAATATCTTTCACACACATCTGGGACTGAATTTTGTTGATAAATATGAATATGTGCGCCTATTGACGAACCATTGCAATGTGAAAAATCCCCACTTTTTCCATCTGAAAGTGAAAGTTCATACAGTTTCAGAGTCATATTTATGTTGTTTTGTTAGAAATAAATATGTAGGTTTCATAAATTTGGACTGTTTTTGAGCAATCATGAGTTACACATTGAAATGAATTAAATTAAATTCCATTCATTCTAATGTACAGCTCTGGAAAAATAGTTTCTCTGGATTTACCAGGTTTGGGTTTGAGTAAAATGTTAATATTTGTTTTATTCTATAAAGGTCTGATACATTTTTTATTTATTTTTTATTAATTAAAAACATATTTTTTGCAGAAAATGAATGAATTGGTCAAAATAACAAATGTTTTCATTCAGGGATATTCCACCAAATATTGATTTCTGAACTCTTCTGAAGTTACAACATTGCTATCGTGTTGTCTAAAAATGAATATATACCTGTCTGAAAACATGGCGTCTTTTTAGTTATTCATGCTCTAAATGACAACATGTTTATTTACAATTTGGAAGAAATGTCATCAGTAGTTTACAGAATAAAGCAAACATTACGTTTTACCAGAAATCTATGGAAATCCAGAGAAATTGAGAATATATATATATATACAGTATATATAGTATACATTTTTCACATTTACTCATTAATGAGATGTTGCTGGTCAGATATAATATGGTTTTGGTTAAAAAAATATTAAGTTATGACTGTTCTATAAAATAACGATTCTTCAGGTCAAAACTGACCCGGAATGTGAACATCGTATACAGATATTCAATGCATTATGAGTGTGAACTTGAGTTGAGTTGCTAAGATAAGACTTGGCAAGAATAAACATGAACCAGCATCTTTCATCTCAATCCATCCACATAGAAATGATTCATTAAAGTTAGGAATGATCGACAAGGTGTCTGTCAGTAGTTTCACATTGACTAAACAAAACCCATGACGGAGCAGTCCATAGGTTCACATAAAAGCTTTAAAGTAAGAGTTGTGGTGGTCATGATGAGTAAATGGCGGTGAAGATGATGGTGATGATGAAGGAGGAGTCACAAGCTGAGCGAATGAAGAAGAGCACTGACCTTTACACTACACAGGTGTAGCAGCATTATGATTCAGCGACTCAAAGCACATCAAACCCTGAGGAGAAGGTCAGGAGTTACTGAAACGGCATAAAACAAACCCTCTGAGCACCACTCCGTCCTTCACTCTCAGTGCTGCTACAGAGATACAACTTCAGCTCAAGATGAAATATTGTAATAACATATTTTACAGTGACATTAATGTCAAATGCAAGAATGCAATCAAACTCCAAGCAAACATGACAGTACATTAGAATCAGAAACAAATGCATCACTTCACACATATAACAATAAACTCCCAAAGCATGATCTAGATGACAGTAGTGCACATCAGTGAAGGTCTACGGGGAGATTGCAACAGGATAAAAAGTGAACTGCTCCTTTTTCTTGAGACCTTTCGCACATCATGCAAAAGTTACCTGGTTAATCAGGATTTACACTACCGTTCAAAAGTGTGCATTCAGTAAG